CGAAGTTAATATGACCTCGAACTAATTGATGCTAAATAAAGCCACCTAAGACACAACTGTCCCATTATTACTGCTATATAATTATACACAACACCGTCTTTGATTTTGTGTGGAACTTGGAAGCAGAGCAAATATTGACATTGGGCTTGCAGGTAATATGCTAGATTTAATTTCACATCACAAACTCAAACATGACAAAACCTAGGTGCGGAACTTGTCTGTGACCACTCCAGGCTTCATAAAGAAGAATAAAGAACTGGGTACACACACACACACACACACACACACAGGATACTATAGGTTTTTAAGTTTTCTTTGCCAGTGTCCCCCCCCTCACTGTTAAGAACACATTTACCTGCTACATTCTCAATTTTGTTTCCTATTATTGCCTTATAATTTGGTAAAACAAAAATGCGCATATTTGACAATTTTTATTTTCTCCACATACGTATTTCCATGAAAACTAAATTGAAATGAAGTAGGAAGAAGCACTGTATATTAATTTTCTTTTAGTCTTATCAATAGGTTTTCTTGTTCGATTTAGTTAAGGTCAACTTTAATTCTTTTCTGTCTTAAACCCAGATCCCCAGCTTGTTTTCAAAGTCAGTGTGTGTAAATCTCTCTCTGTATCATTGGATATGTTTTACTTCCAAAGACTATTCAGAAATTATCTATATGCTTACAACTGGCACTCTTTAAACAAGTTAGACATGGTCTCTGTCTATAAAGACCAGGCATGTACAGAGAACACCAAAGTCTTGGAATTGGAGGCCTTAGGAAATAAAAAGAAAGGAACACTGTTCTGTTATACTTCCTCATCTTTTTTCACCCACAATAATGAGTTTTCACTATTGGCTGCAAATCTGTTAGTAAGTACCCAATGCCACCAATACTTTATCCAAGAAAAAAGAACAGAATATGAATACGGAATGAGAAAAACATTTTTTTTACAATTTTGTTCCAGTAGACAAAAAGTAGTACAAATTAAAGAGGATGTATCATTAAATCCTAAAACAAGATTTTAGTACTCTTTGTAGTTTCCTAAAGTCAGTTGATACAGTCTGGGGCACAAAACTCTCGTTGTCACCTGTGTATAGTTTTAAGCTGCAGCACCTCACCTGCAGGTTCCCATGCCTGCTGAGGAGCAGAAGCTATTCTGTGGTAACCTCTATTAAAACTCTGACAATCAGTATGTTCATTCTATTGGAAATCCAGAAAGTTACTGTGAGAATTGGACTGAGATTTTTTTTTTTGTCTTTTTCCGTGTCCGGCAACGGATCGCAACCCTCAGTGTCGCCCCCGTACCGGACCGGGACTGGCAACGGGATCGCAGTCCTCGGTGTTGCTCCCGCGCCTCGCTCAGCCAGTGAGCGGGAACCGGTCTGTATGTGGGATCCGAACCCTCGGCGGGAGCACCGCCGCGCTCCCAAGCGGCGCACTATAGCAGTGCGCCACCGGGCCGGCCCTGGACTGAGATTTTTAATAACATAGTCTAGCTTGTCGAAAAGCCAGATTAGAAGGTGCAAAATTCATACTATAACTCCCTTGGATTGAAGTTAACAAAACAACTCCTAGTCATAAAAAAAATTGTAAGAAAGAAATATCCTACTCAAATTACATCTTTTGAAATTAAGTTATTGTAAAATTGAATCTATAAAAATGTGGAGAAACTGCAGCAAAAAGATAAGAGTAGACAAGTACACAGAATGAAGTGAAACAAGAGAGACATGATGTGTGTGGGCGGGTGTTAAGACTTGCGAGGGAATGCTATAAACAGAATAAAACAATGGAAACGGAACGTTAAGCTTGACAGATTGACACGTAGAGAAAGAGGAACTTTAAAGAACCATATGGTTGGTTTGGTCCTAACGCTGTCTTTGAAAGGACACTTCATCAATTCTACCTAAAAATAACTTAGTTGTGATATTCAAACATTTTTTAGCAGAAAAGCCAATTTTTTTTTTCTCTTTTTACCCCCAAATCCTTGCTGCAGCCCCTCTGGCACTCAGGCCCTTAGAAGTCTCTGAGGCAACTTTCAGGAACCTTGGAACTCTACTGACCAGTCAAAAACCACTGTGGTATTAAATTCATATTATTCAGAGCTAACAGATACTAATATAATGGGACGGAAGAGCAGAATCTCTTAAAATAATCTCGAAATGTGCCTATATCTGATCTGCTAAGGTCGGCGTGCTTCAGGGCACTCAGTCTTTGTTGTATTCTGTCTATTCACTCTTGCTCCCTGCAGGAGCTTCACAAGTCATCTTGAAGCTGATGACTCTAAATTTATGTCCTTAATCCCAATCAGACACTTGAGAGTCAGCTTTGACTGTCCTTCCCTCACCCTCTGTACTCTGCAGGGTGGGAAGGTCTGCGGCTCAGCTTCCAAACGCAGCCAGAACTGCCCACTTCTCCCCACCCTGGTGCAGATTCCCTGCTGAGGGCTGCCGTCCTCTGGATTGTCTGGATGGCCACCGCAGCCTCCTAAAGGGCCTCTCTGCCTCTACATTTTTCTCAAACAGAGTGGTCTTTACATGAAGTAATATTATTTCAAAACCAGCAACTCAAAACCATTCAGCGAGTCTCTATTTCACCAGAGGAAACACCAAAGTTCTCTCAGTGGCCTGTAATAGGTGGTTCACGCTGTCATGTGCTGCCCAGATCCCCTTCAGAATGACCTATCACCTGCTGCTGGAAGAGCTCCTGGCAGACACCCATGGCTGTCAACATCCCAGGGATTGCTTCAGCGGAAGAGAGTCACCTCACCTGAGGTTAGTTACAGAGTCTTCCTAGGACAGGCACATCCAGTGACTGAGCCACATGATTACCAAGGCCCAGACATCTTGCCGCGATCGGGACTACTCTGAAAGGCCTCTCTAGGCCCTGTGCTCTATGTGGGTCAGCTGAGGCTGTGGTGGGACCTGTGCTGCAGCTCGACCTACTTCTGTCCTAATTCCTTCCACTCCTTTCCATAGGTCCTCGTCCCAACCACACTCCCCAATAAGTGACCTGCACGCTGAATTCCATCTCAAAGTCTGGTTCTGGAGAGCCCAGCCTGCAACAAAAGTCCTGCATAATCTAGCCAAGCATAGGTTCTCTGACTTCCTCTCTCACCAGTCTCCCCTGCCCACCCTGCACAAGCACACTGGCCTTTGACTTTTCAAGAGGATGGGTGTGCTCCTGTCTTAAGGGCCCTGCATGGCTGCTCCTCCTGCCTAGAACACACTTCCCTGATATTTGTACTGCTGCTTCCCTCACCTCCTCTCAGTTTTGCTGAAATGTCACCTTCTAAATGAGCCCACTCTGACCTACCAGGGTAGAAAATAAGACAAAAGTTTTAAGAAGGAACAGTTGTTATTTTTCTTCCAATGTATTTGCTTATCTTTCCAGCATATACTTCATTTTGAAGAAATGACTTTACTTGTTGCAAAAAGGGTTTGACACTTCTCTTGTTTCAAAATTACTGTTTTAAATACATAAACATGGTACAGAGGCTAAGAACACAGGCTCAAACAGACCGGGACTTGAATGTCCCAGTGCTGCTACTCTGCAGACATGTGGCCTGGGGCCTCTCGGCCTCAGTTTCCATCTGCTAAGTAGGGATAATGATGTTATTTACACATCTTAGAATGGTAATGAGGATTAAATGGCTTTATATAAGTAAAAGACTGTGAAAACAACAAAAATCCGTGTACATGCTGGGAATTATTGAGAGATTGTCCTATGAACCACACATACCAAAAAATCCACTGCAGTCCATTTGCATCCTTGCTTACAGATCAGAGTCTGAGGAAATCACCTTTTTGGCTACGTTCAACCCGAATGGACTGATGACTTTCAGCAAAGCAGAAAGGACTGGTTCTAGAGGAGTAGGTGTCACACCCAGGGCACAGTGATAGCCTAAAACAGTACTGGGGACACCAAAGAATAGTTGCCAATCAATGAATACAGTCTAGGCGGTTACATAGTACAAAATCCTAATTCTTTGCTCTTTTTGCACTAACTTTAATTACTTCAGACTTTATTCTACTCTCTAAGGCCCATGTGAAAAAAATCACATAGAATTAGAGATATCTAGGTCTGTATAGGTTCTTCAGAAGAGCTTTAAACTTTAAAACCAGCCATATATCTGGTTATTTGAGATTAGAGGCCTAAATCTTTTCATGTGTATTTTCAATCCAAAGTTTTTATGTGTATTTCTGTTTCTGTGATACAAAATAGCTGTACTTGGCTTAAAAATAAAACAATGAGGCCTCCAAAATCTGAACTACTTTTATGTTTGCTTCCATTCATTTTTCATTTAGTGGAGTGAAACGTCCTTGCCCATAACCTCAAATCTACAAGCTTGACTGATTTCAGAGGTTACACTGGACGCCCACCCTGCCAAGCACAGATGACAGACCACCAGTAAGCTGGCACTAATGAAAACTACAAAAGTCTAACAGTTACTGTTACATTATGTATCTGCCTTTTCAGATTTATTTGCAGGTCCCACTAGAGTCAATTTCTTTATTTCTAAAGAGAGAACCATATAAATCTATGTTTAAAAGAATTAATAACAATGTTCATTGTAGAGATATCATTAAAAATCATCATTTTGTAATTGTACATTAAAAATAATAATCTCACCATTTAACAAAATAATAATAACAATAATAATAAATGGTGCTATAGAGGGATAAGGAGAGCAGACAGTGACTGCACAGTGTGACTTTGCCAAAAGCTCCTATGAACACTTAAGTAGAAGGTGGCCCTGGGAGCTGATGGAGATAGACCAGGAGTGAGCTCTCCCCAATCCAGCAGACCCAGGAAAAGCCCCACCTTGTGGGCAGGCAAATTTGGGAAACTATCTTCTATTCACATAGTAGGGGGTATATATGTGTATATGTGGGAGTTTACTTTGTGAAAAACATTGGTACATCAAATTATTCAGGGTTTTCTCCTGCAGTAATAACCTACTGGAAATTGCCTTAGCCCTTCCATATCCTCAATCGAGGATATCATGCATTCCTCCGATTTTTCTTCATAGCTTTATACAACTTAATATTCAGGCTAGGGAAACTGGAAATTTCCTCCAGGTCAAACAACTCCTTAAATCTATCCACAAATTTATTTTCTTTCTCCAACCTGAATTTCATGACCCAGAGGATGACAGTAGTTTCTTTGCAGAGATGGTCAAAGGTAACGAGGAGTTCTTCCAGGAAAGGATGAGCATAGACAACATCCGCCGCCAGGATGTAGTCGAAAGTGCTGGAAGACCTGGGGAAGTTTTCATCCAAAGCGACTCCCCAGGAGAGTTCTTTAACCTGAGGCAAATGCTTGCATTTCATTTTGGTGTTTCGGAAAATATTATATTGCAGGTTTCCAAGTAATTCTGGTAAATCTGTGGCAGTCACGTGAGCACCTGTTAAACAAAGGACAGTGGGAAAAGTCACCCTCGTGGGATAAGGTAAAGCAGTCTCATAACAAGCCAACACGCACTCTGCTACTCTGTGCAATTGCTAGTCCTAGAGAAGAAGACTGGTGAGCACACACAGAAAGGGAACACCTTTCAAAATGGATGCTAAGGCAGCTATATGCCTCCCTTTAAAAAAAAAAAAAAAAAAAGAGTCCTGTGGTACTTTTGCACACCATTGTATCATTCTGTTCTCCTAGATGTTTGTTTGTTTTTGTTCTATTTTGTTATTGTTTTTCTCTATTTATCTACTACATTCTATGAGAAAAATAATTGAGAGAAAAGGCAGTTCTAAATATTTGGTACCCTCGTGACATCAGAAGTCATTACTGTAAGATGAATGGGTATTTCCCTAAAAGAATTCTGAGCCTCAGTCATGGGAGATGGAACAAGTGTTTGTATCCTGTAGTTGAACAGGAAGTGCTCGTGCAAGAAGTGGAGGGAGCAAAGAAGTCTTTTCAATGGCATGATGGAAAGTATCATGACAACCATGTTTATGCACAAGTTTCCAACTTGACCCCATCATAAGTGCAAATCTTCCTATCGAAGGTGTTTAAAACCTAGACATAGCCTGCATATAGTGCTCATAAAGCCAAAGAGTATAGATGCAGGATAGAATGCTTAAATCAAGAAGTTATAAATAATTTCCAAGTTACAAGTGAATAGTGGTGGTTAGTTTCAAGAAAAAATTGGCAGGAACAAATGTGTACACATTTGGTCTTTAAAGCAAACTTTGAGCAGTAGCAGATTCTGAAAATAATCTGTAAATAAATCTAGGATTGGCCAATTTCACAGCATCAGATAAGCATCAGATATTTAGTCTTATCTGAAGACTAGGATAAAGAATGGAAAAACAGAACTGGAAGAGAAGTCTAGAATTCACTCTTTAGCCACAATGTCAACTTTCTCTTGGCTTTGAGTGTATTTTGTGAAAATATTAAAAGGGGAGGGAAATATGCATATTATTGGTAGAATCACAGAAATACAAACCTTCACATTCTGGTGTGGGTAAATCTATCATTTTCAACAAATCTTTTTAAAATCCCAGGATAAGGGATATACCCCTACCCATACTGAATGTAAACTATCTGACTAAATTATTTATACTTAAGATCTTTGTGTCGAGAGGTAAACACTACCACTTTCAGAATACCGACTAAACAAAGCTTCCATTGTTTTATATTTGTTTCAAGTTAAACAAGCAGACCAAAGGGATCAATTCTTTTTTATAAAGCAAATGACTTCCCAAAACACAAATTCTGCTCCTAAATCAGGAGGCTTTCAGGTATAAATGAAATAGTGACTCCGACTCTATCCATACTAAATGGAATAGTGACTTTGGAAAGCAATATCAGGACAGAGCAATTTTTAAAAAATATTAGGGAGGACTTCAAGGATCCTATATCTCTCCAGTATTTAGAAAGTTGTAAATAGCTAAATCTTGAATTCCTCTCAAGATTTTAAAGTGGCAGGTGTGCACTTCTGGAGATGAAAGAAATCAAGACAGATTTGGGTAGCGTACTCAAAGAAAGCAGCTAAATTAAGGTAATAAAATAGATAACAACAACAAAAAGAGATTGAACTGAAACAGGCTCAGGTATACAGACAGACTATTACATGCACAGTTGAAAAAGTGTTGGTGAGAGAACTAGGGGTCATAAAGGAAGAATGGAAGCAACTGAGAACATAAATTCAAGAACAAACACCTAAAAATAGAAACACAGTGTAATTTTTGTGTGATTTCTAATACTCCTTCTCTATTCTAACAGGTGCTTTTTCATAAAAGCAAAGGACTTCAAAACACAGAAGGAATCTACAGGTGCATGGGAACACTCAAATAGCACTAAAATCTAAAGTGTATTAGAATCAGCAGCAATAAATTCTGTGTATGCCTAATATTTCGCTCCTCTGCTCTAGCAACCAGGATGCTTATGTGCACCTCCCATTTAGAATATTCATCTCAGGCTTGTGGCTTAGCACTCATTACATAGGAAGAATTAACACAACTTACACTGAGACTTCTGAAAGAAACCATTAGGGAAAGTAAAATTGGTGGAGTTTCTTGATGAAGCCCATTCAAACAATTAAGGAGTTACATATAGGCCAAGGTCATAGTACATTAGATGGTAAAAGCAACCAACAATATTTGATCATTAAATTTTCTGACCTCCATTCAATCGAAAATACCTACTTACCGAGTAAACTTGCCACGATGGAGACTAGCCCTGTTCCAGCTCCAATTTCAATCACATTTTTGTCAACCATATTATACTGCTTTGCATTTGTTTCCAGGAAATAGCATAGAACAAGGGCCTATCAAAGTTTAAAAAACAGAAAAAAGTGGTGCTTGGCAATTAATAACAGAAAGTACAATTAAACTCTATTAATGTGCCACTAATGTTATGGTAGGTATGTGTGCACATGTGAGTATGTGAGTGTATTTGTGAATACACATACACATCACCCCAGAAAATTATCAACAGAAGTACATCTCTGATAGGTTCAACATTTAGAAAATGTTCTTGGGGGTTGGAGGGAGGAAAAGGGGGAAATAACAAAAAATTTAGAGTTCAGTTGCTTAGGTTTGATCATCTTCAAAGAAAGCAATTTTAATAATACCAGTTACTTCTAAGTAGTGTGTGGAATTGGGACAGGCAGTGGTGGTGGGTCAGCTACCCTTCATGAGACAGTTGGCAAGTGGGGGGTGCAGAATATTCTGCATGTGAGACTCAGACATATTTTATTACATCTGTTTAATTCAAATGGAGCCAGTAAAATAGGAAATAAAAATATTTACTATTTTTAACTCATAAAAACCTGAAAGAGTAAACAACATTCTCTTAATCCTACAAATTTTGATAAAGTCAGAAATAGAATTAAGTGGTGGAAGCAATTTTCCAATCACATGATTCCTAAATTTTAGTATTATTCAAGGTCATGAAGTAGAACTGTGGAATCTGCTTTCTTCTTCCAAGTAGAACATAATAATGAACAAAACTGGCTGGAAAAGAAATAGAATATAGCAAATTTTGTATGAAATTATACCGATGGCCAAACAACAGCACCATAACAATCCGTGGCTTCAGTAATGCGAATCTCATGACCAACAAAATGAAAACCTTCCCAGGCAGTGGCTGTCGTCACAGGTGGAATAAAACATCTTGCCATGATCTCTGTGACCACCTGCTTGTCATCATAGTCTTCTCTGGTCTCTGAAAGGAAAAGAAAAAGGTAATGGTCGTGTTAGTAAATACTTTAAAAAGGAGAAGAACCTGATGGAAATGCAGCATTTCTACTTAGTCTAAGTTACTTTTGAATATTCATTTACTTTAGATGAAATGAAATAGTAAACAATTTGAAAATGACTGATAATATAAGCTAAAATTTTCATACGTTAGGGTGGCAACGTCTGAGTTTTACTGAAGTTAAAATCACTACTATCCATTTCTGCATGCTGTATGAAACAAATCATAACTGATATACCTTTTAAAGGCAATATATTCTAAGGGCCACCAATCAGTTCATCCAGAATAAGAGAAAGATTAGTGATGGAATATGAGATCCCAACTATTTACATTGGCTACACAGCGGAATTCCAGTTATTTCAATAATGTATAGTAGTGTGTATCCTTTATAACCTGCTTTTATCCAGACAAAAGATATTTAATACCACCCAACAATATATCATTGTATTATCTTATCATTACTTATTTTCGTATTATTTTCAGGGTAATTCATGGCATCTTAACATGTATAACATTAATAAGTTTAATAAGCAACATTACCAATGACTGAGCACATACTTAATATGTCAGATCATGGTAAATACATTGTAATTATATTTCATTTAATTTTTGCAACATCCTTTTGAGGTGGACATTGTTATCTTCACTTTTACAGACAACAAAACTAAGACTCAGAACTATCTTAAGGTGCCCAAGCTCAGACAACTTGTAAATGAAGGAGCCACAATCTGAGGTCACTCTTTGGTTGTTCCAAAGCCTCCTCTCTAAAGTATTAAAAAGCTCTGATGCATGTTGTCTCTAAGAATTTACAAACTAGTTATGGAGCAAAATGTACATCTCTCTCTACGCCTCCATTACCTTATTAGTAAAATACAAAAGATAGAAGAACCCACATCTAATGGTGTTGGGAGACTTAAACAACATAATATATGCAAAGTGCTTAGCACATTATCTGCTACAGAATGCTTGATAAATTATTATCTTAGTTGTTTATTAATACTATTTTGATTATGAAATTGAAAGACAAAACAAGATCACCATATAATTAAATGTTGCATTGTACAGTAGAGACTTGAAAATTCTACAGCTAAACAAGGAAGATGAAAAATCACTGTGGCTGAGGTGACAGGTATGGCTTCATAAAGCAAGTTTGTCTGATGTTGAACATTTGATTGAATAGATGATTTTCATCGATATAGAAGCTATCTATTTCTCACACCAATCCTTAAGATCCATTGCTCCTTCAAGCATCCTCTCTGCTCTCTGAGTCCTGACTAGAGTCCTGCTGGCTGCTTCTCCCACCCCAGCACCAATGAATCCAGGCTTAGATCTTTCCAGAAGAAAAGATCAAAAATTAAATACAACTTTGAGTATAAGGAGGAAACAATGGCATGACTACCAAAAAATAAAAGGAAAATAGTTCGTAATTTTTGAAATAAGAAGAGAAGCAGCAAAGATTCATCTCAAACACTTAAGCAGAAAAGTCTTCGTTCCTTGGTTATTTTATTTACTTATTCAACAAAACTGCACTGAAGGCCCACCATGTGCCAGGCACAGTGCTGGATGACAGAAAGATAACAGTTAGCCAGACAGACATAGTCCCTACCCTCAGGAAAACCAGAAATGCACTGACACGATTTGCCTGACTTTAGCAGCATTTGTGGTATCTCATGGCATGTCCATAAAGAAATATTGAGTTGGATGCAAATTAGTTTTTCCACATTGCCCCCAAAGCACTTGGCTTTGCTGCCCATCAGGGCAGACCTCTCTAATGAGTAGTGTGCTCTCAGCTTGGCCCTGAAGAACATTTTTCGTCAATGGTTTGACTGACTGATAATAATAAGAGTATAATCATATGTTCACATGGTTTCAGTGTGATGAGGACAGCAAGAATGCTAGAAAACTAAATGTGATGGAAACTATCTTGATAGATATAACAGTGGATTGGACTTAAATGTGAAATTTAATAAAGGTAAGTGCAAAGACCACATACAGGCTGAGTTTAGCAGCACTATCTGAGGGGGGAAACAGATACACAGGTTTAATTGGCCACAAGCTCAATAGGTGTCAAAAGTATAATACAACTATCAAAAAAGCTAGAACACTCAGGCCTGTTAATGTAATTTCTAAAATGGGGGAGGTAAAGTCTCTGTTCTATTTTGTGCTAGTCAGATCATACCTGTACCCCATACTCAGCTAGGGAAGCCTCACTTCAGAAGGACACTGAGAAACTGTAGCACCTGGGAGGTGAGAAATCTTGAAACTCATCCTATGAGGACAGTTTAGGAAGATCAATATGTTCACCATAAAGAAGAAAAGACCTGAGGGAACACAAGAGTTATCACAAATTTGAGAGACTAGGAAATAGGGAAGAGATTAGGGGTATGTGCGTGCGTACGTGCGTGCGTGCGTGCGTGTGTGTGTGTCCCACTTAGAATCCAGACAGAACCATGTATTCCCCAAAAGAACAGCAAGTTAACTACACACAGGAAGGGCCCAACCTACCAACCCACTTCACCACTGCTGCAAACACCGACCCTTGACAGAGATGCAGAGAAAACAAAGGGATGAAAAGCTGATATTCTCAGCAAGAGCCATCTCTTCTAATATATTTCACTGTCCTTCTCCTTAAACAACTGCATGCATTCACATTCAGGAAGAGATCTAAGAACCAAATAATATTGGTAATATGTTTTATTTGAATTTCAGCTCTCATTTCACTATATGCACTTGCCTTGCTAAGATTGGGGGCAGGGAGGGCAGGTGCAGAAGGCAACATTTACTGCAGAAGTCCTTTAGAGAAAAGTACAGAGCATTAATTGCTTCTTTGACCTTTAACTGAATTTGTCCTCTTGGGCCTCCTTGCAGACTCCTTGTAAATGTACCATTTCTTTGACAAGTCATCTAAGGTATCAGGGATTAATAGATGTTAGAGTACACTAAGTCCCAGGAGCATCTCCTAAAGTTTCAGTCTTTAGTATAAAATGTCTTGCCAGTGGATATTTACTGGTACAATCTGACATCTCTGACTTTGCACATTCTTTTAAAAGTTAGTTGGCCAGATTAGCACTGCTGTCCTAACAAGTTCAGTGTGATAAAAAATGAATTCCTGGCTTTTGACTGCATCTTTCTGAATGAACAGAGCTAGCCATTTCTTTTTAAGAATGACCAGACTACATCTTTACCTTCATAAGGAAATGAGATTTCAAAAATATATATGAATATATTATTATAATTAAAAATTATATACACTCCCCAAATAAAAGACCTTCAAAAGGATTTCATGATACCTCTATAACCACTATTAATTGTATATACACTCTAAGAGAGCATGACTATTATATATGGTAACTCAAAATTAGTTATATGCCTAGGATAATCATGTATCATATAGAAAACATTATCAGGTTGAATAAAATGTAATTGATAATGTTTCATATTAATACCATTTTGCATTTAAATACTATATGAATACTACAGGCACACCATAAAAAGTAATCCTCATAAAAATTAGCATAATTTATAGCGTGAAACCAAAATATACTGAACTTGCTGCTTAAAATAATTCATTTAAAGAGAAATTTGCTCTTTGGAAGGACCACACTGATAAAATGATCAAATTTCTTTTGGAGTAACTTATAAAAATTAAAACAAAATTTCTTTATGACAAGAAAAAATAATGATTTGTCTAGATGTAATATATGTTATTTTAAAAGCAAACACACACATGCAATTATTTACATCTTAAAACTTTGGCACTATTTTCAGCATGAACTTCTACTTAAAGATTTTGAAGTAATAGTTTTAATAGTAACTATTTATTTTAATAAAGACATAGTTAATATTAAGTTCTAGCAATAACACCACCCATTTCAAGGTTTACAAAAAGAATCTCTAAAATGGAATCTAATGGAAAGAGCTTCACTATTATAAACGCATCTCTAGAGAAGGCTTGCTGTAATAAAAGAAAGAAATCTACGCCAAACATAATTTACAAAGAACTTGTCCTTTAAACTGCATGTCTAGTTATTTGTTGAATATGGGAATGAATGTTGAGAAGATTAATGAATTAGCAGAACAGTTTTGGTTTTTAGTTAAGATTTGAAGAGCAATGTCCTCCAAAAAGTAATAACATTGTCATACAATGGAATTCTTTTTTTTGTTTGTTTTGTTTTGTTTTTTTCTTTGTGACCGGTAAGGGGATCGCAAACCTTGGCGTGGTGTCGCCTGCACTGTGCTCAGCCAGTGAGCACACTGGCCATCCCTATATAGGATCCGAACCTGCAGTGGGAGCACCGCTGCGCTCCCAGGGCCGCACTCTCCTGAGTGAGCCACGGGGTCGGCCCATACAATGGAATTCTAATATATATTTCTGAAGAATAATTTTTCCACATATATTCTCACCTTGTTATCTAGCACTCAGGCTCCAGGACAAATAACTAAACTTAGATAATGTTACACAAAATGCTGTATCTTGGCTTTCCCATATGAAAAGCACAAAACTTCTGATATTTGTACCTTTACATAAAATCAATATACTATAGTCTTAGAATATTATTTTATTAATGGATTTGATATTGAAACATAAATATCAAAACAGACTGTAAATAAAACATAATCAAGGCACAGTATTACAATTATGTTGTTATCCTGGGCTTATCTATTTTAACGTTTTTTAATACAAAAACATCTTTACACCATTTTCCTACTATTAAATCTTTGCTGATAGTGAATAAAATCTACCAGGTGCTCTTGTTCTCCTGAGAATTAAAGGTGTTTCAAGTATGAAGTGAAAATTAGCAAGATTCTGCCACATTATGATGATGATTTTCTTAAGAGGGAAATTCAACAGTGAATTGATTTCAATGCTGAATTGCAGAAAGCCTTCAAAATAGAGGTCCTGTCTATATTCTTCTCTTGTAAATTTTTAAGGTCAGTAACAACAATAATAAATGGAAGGGTCAGAT